GATTGTCAAATTTTCTTACAGACATTCTACGATAAATGTGGAATTGGTGTAAATGTCTTCAAAGGATTATTTAGTCAAGTGATATGACTTCCAGTTTGTTTACATGACTTCTTTCCTTTTTCCTCCCTCCTCTGCTTTCTTCCCTTCTTCCTTCCTTTCATCTCATTCTCTCAAACACATATTTATTGACGGCCTTTCCCCTGCTAGTCAGTGACCAAGCCAGGAGTATACAAAAATAAGGACACTGCCCTGCAGCAACTAACAATCTAGTGTAGCGTGTGTTGGGGGAGAAAGAAACATGAGAACACACACACATACGTACAGAAAAGAGTTGTCTGAAAGCAGACAAGAGTGTGCAGCCAAATCTGCCTTGGTGAGTTAGGGGAGGTTCTGCAGAGAAGATAAAAGTTCAAACTAGATATGGAAGGAAAAGTAGAAGGGGAAAGCGAAGGGTATAAAAACACTTGGCATGTTGAGGATCTGGTGAGTAGTTCAAAATCAGACAGTATGGGGTTCATGACAGTGGGTGGTGGGAGGTAAGGCTAGAAAAACAGGATGGATTTGGATTGGGATGGGCTTTGTAGGCCTTATTTTGTCATGCAGACATCAAAAAGCCATTGACGGTTTTATGACATAGCAGACTTGAGTAGACTTGTGTTTTAAACCTCGGCTTTGGCAATGTAGATCAGAAGGAGTAAGAGACTGGTATAAGGGAGACCAATTGCAAGGCCACTGCAAATAGTTCAGGTAAGAAATGTTGAAGACCCACATAAAGGAATGGCCTATTTTCTGCCTAAGTGGTCTATTTGTGAGAAACAAGGAAAAAAAGTAAAATCTGGGAAGGTAGAACCATATTTGGCATGTAAATTAGAAAAAAAGTCATAAAAAGGCAACAGAAGGGATCCTTGAGGTGAGGGAACTGTTTTGTATCTCCCCTATAGTGATAGATACAAACTTACACATGTGATAACACTGTATAGAACTAAACACACAAACACATATAAGTGGATCCAAGTGAAACTGGGGAAATCTGAATAAGACTGTGGACTGTTGTTACCATCATAGTAGACTAGGTAAAGTTTACACGGATCTGTGTTATTTTGTACAACTGCATGCGAATCTACAATCATTTCAATAAAAACTTCAATTAAAAGTGATACCAAAATAATTTTCAAACGAAAAAATCTATTAATCCATTTTGGGATGTAGAGGAAGAAATTTAAGGCAACTTGTCCACAATTCCTTACTGGAATTTTGATTAATTTTATGTTGCATTTATATAATAATTGGGAAAAAATGGAAAAAAATAAAACCAACCAGATTAAAAACTAAGATAACAGTTATTTAAATGTAATTTGTGCAGTTTTTAGATGATTATTATTGGTGCCATTAGATATTTTACATACTGAGTAATTGGGAGGGAAGAAAATGAACATTTATTGAGTACTTAATGTACAAGTCATTGCTCTGGAGGCTTGGCTTACATATATTTCTCTATTTCATGCTAATGAAGCGGCAGATTTTATTAGAATCATTAATGTGCTTCACAGATGGGGAAGCCTAAAGGTCAGAGTGTGTAAGTACTTTTGTGAGGTCACAGTGTTGGGATGAACCCACGCCTGACTTTCAAGCCCATGCACTTTCCTACTTAGGGGCTGAAATACAGACACAAGCACACTTAAGGTATCGTGTCCATCATTGACTTGTCTGGCTGATCTCTACAATGTCTGCATCCAACATTTAGAAATGTGGAATATAGTCCTTTTGTGGTAATCAGTGTGGATTATTTCAGCTCAGGAAAACACGTTTTAAAATTTATGATAAGATAGCTTCTGATAAAATATTTCAAAATAGTAGTGTCAGATACTATTAGAAAACTTCAGGGGAATTCTCTCAACCTTTAAATAAAACAAAACCTCATCAAGAGATTTATATCGTTTAACTTTTATTGAGTATTTACTATATGTCAGTTATCATGTTAGGCAACTTACATGTTATTTAAAATTTCACAACAAAATAGGGACAGAATTTGGGCTGTTTGACTCCAGAGCCACACTTCTGAACCACTAGGCTACAGCGCTGTAAAAATCTACCAACGTGGGTTGGCCCCGTGGCTTAGTGGTTAAGTGCACGCACTTGCTCCTGGCGGCCCGGGGTTTGCATCCCTGGCGCGAACCCACGCACCGTTTCTCCGGCCATGCTGAGGCCGTGTCCCACATACAGCAACTAGAAGGATGTGCAACTATGACATACAACTATCTACTAGGGCTTTGGGGGGGGGGGGAAGGAGGATTGGCAACAGATGTTAGCTCAGAGCCGGTCCTCCTCAGCAAAAAGAGGAGGATTAGCATGGATGTTAGCTCAGGGCTGATCTCCCTCACAAAAAAAAAAAAAAAAATCTACCAAGGCAAAAAATGGGGGATGAAGGAAAAAGGAACTTTAACTGAAAGTTTAGCATGGTCCAAGATCAGTGATCAGAGCCACCACTTATTGTAATTAAATTAGATGAGTTAATACATCATGTGATTTGGGATCTAAGAGAGGTCAATTGTGAGAAGCTCAACGGCATCTTCAGGTCAATCACCTTCTACCGCTTTGTCTCATTTTATTTTCTTCATAGGTCTTTTTTGTGTGTGTGTGTGAGGAAGTTCAGCCCTGAGCTAACACCCGTCTCGAATCCTCCTCTTTTTGCTGAGGAAGATTGGCCCTGGGCTAACATCCGTGCCCACCTTTGTCTACTTTATATGGGACGCCACCACAGCATGGCTTGACAAGCAGTGCGTCAGTGCACCCCCCCCAGGGTTCTGAACCTGTGAACCCCGGGCTGCTGCAGCGGAGCTCGCGCACTTAACCGCTATGCCACCGGGCTGGCCCCTCTTCATAGCTCTTTCACTCACTAATATCTAAAAGTATTTCACTACTTGTCTATCATTTGCCCCACCTAACTAGAACATAAGTTCAATAAAATCAAAAACCTTACGTTCCTTGTTCAATGCTGTATTTCCGGTGTTTCAAGTTGTTCCTGACATATAGATATTTGTTGAATGATTGGCCTTCCCTGAACTTGAATGGTAGAGGTTTAGATTTACAAACTGTGGTTCAAAAGATCACATTAAAAGGCCTGCATTATTAGCAATTTATTAGTGTTTTGTTTCTTAGATTGGCTAGATGCACTGAAAGAAGGGGAGGAGGAAGCTGGAGGAAGGAAGAGGAGGCTAGAGAAAAGGAGAAAGAGAGAATATAAACTGGTAATGATAAACCTTTAAACATGGGAGTGGGGTTGAAGCATCAATGCCTGAAATTGGTGGGGCTCTCTGGAGTGGGATAAAAACTATCATGAAGGCTAACTTCTCAATTTGGTCTCTGAAGTTCTGCCACCACAAAGATTTATGAAGGGGAAAGTTATGTAGTTCATTTTTAATATGCTAATTACATTGTATTGTGCATAGCTTTGATTACAATGCAATGCTCTTGAGGGTTCCACTGAAATTAGTGCCAAGTTTATGTACATATTCAGCACTGGTCTACCTAGTTTATGTATTGTGGATTCTTCATAAGGAGTCATCACTGATGTCCATCCTTGTTAGCCTTACATCATTGTCGAGTAGGATGTATATAAAGAAAGAAGGTTGAGAAAAACAAGAGTCATATATGAGGAACCAAAATGAATGGGTAAACTGAGGCATCTGAAGCAGAGTGGGAAAGGCAACTAATTTCAATGAGGTTGGAGAGTGCCAAAGAAAAAAATCCTCTCTGTAAAATGGAATAGAAAGTTGCTAAATGTGAGAGTTACAACAGAGGATTCTAGGCAGTTTGAAGTTCCAAGGAATGCGACATTCAGAGAAGAGGTTCTCAAACTTTTTGGTCTCAGGACCTCTTTACACTCTTAAAATTGAGGTCCCCAAAGAACTTTTATGGGCATTATAGAAACTAATATTTATCATATTAGAAATTAAAATTAAGATATTTTAAGAGTAGTTACTGTTTCATTTAAAAAAAAAAACTGAGTAGAGTGGCATTGTGTTGCCATTTTGCAAATCTCTTCAATGTCTGGTGACATCCAGCAGATGAATGGATTCCAATATTTGCTTGTTTTCAATGTTTCCATATCACATGTCAGGTAGCCTCTGGAAAACTCCACTGTACACTTGTGAGAGAATGCGAGTGCAAAAGGCAAATAACGTTTTAGTATTATTTTGGAAATACTTTTGACTTCTCCCTTAAAAGGGTCTGGGGACCCTCGGATCACACTTTGAGAACCACTGTTTTAAGAGTCAATATTAGTCAATCCAGCATCAATTAAAAGACAACCGTGAGGTTTCACAGGCCTAAGGATTTACATTTTCAGAAAGATGAAACAATAGAGTGTCTCCATTATAAACCATCCAGAGAATACACCGAAATGCCATTTTCACCCATCAAAAGAACTAAGCAGAAATGAGGGATCGCACCTCAAATAAAAGGACGGAGGAGTAGGTTTGAAGAGCATCCCCCGAAGCCCCAGAGTCCTAGAGTTAGAAGAAGCAAACCCGGCAGAAGACGCCGCCGAGGTGGTCAGAAGGAAAGAACTGTTGTTCTTAGGGGGAAAAATGGGCGGGGAGAGAAAATGGTTACCGGGGACCAGGGACTTGCAGGAACGAGGCCGGGAGAGGGACAGGCACGAAAGAGCGCTGGTCGTCAGGATGCGGCAGGCCGGGACTGGGCAGGGTCCCCCGCCCTCAGTCCTCCCAGCACCGCGCCGAGGGGGTGAAGTGGGCCGGGGGCGAGGCGCGCAGGTCAGGGCCCTTCCCGGGAACGGAAGGGGTTGAGATTTCCCTTCCAGCGCAGCGGGGAGAAAAGAGACGGCGGAGCGCGTCGTACGGGGCGGAGGCGGGAACCCGAGGAACCCAAGCGCCGCACAGACGTTGTGGAAGTCGCCAGGGAAGAAGGACGGTTCTGTTGCTAGGCAACCCGTCCTGGGCCCGCCTCCTGCTCGCGTTGCTGGGAGACGGCGAGGCCGGGGGAGGGCGCGGAGTCGGCCCTACGTGCTGACGCTAATTGTATATGAGCGCAAGCGGCGGGCTCTCGGGTCTTTTTTAGCGCCATCTGCTCGCGGCGCCGCCTCCCGCTCCTCCCGCCGCCGCCCTGAGTCACTGCCTGCGCAGCTCCGGCCGCCTGGCTCCCCGCGCTAGACGCTGGTAACGGATGGGGCCTGAGGGGAAGGGGCACGGAGAGGCGGCCGGGCGGCCGGGGAGGGGAGGGGGAACGGGGGCCGAGAGCGGGGCGGCCGGCCGCCCGGGCC